CTTAGTAAAAAATATTATACTAAAAAAAATTTACTCGACTGGGCACTTAGTAAAAAATATTATACTAAAAAAAATTTACTCGACTGGGCACTTAGTAAAAAATATTATACTAAAAAAAATTTACTCGACTGGGCACTTAGTAAAAAATATTATACTAAAAAAAATTTACTCGACTGGGCACTTAGTAAAAAATATTATACTAAAAAAAATTTACTCGACTGGGCACTTAGTAAAAAATATTATACTAAAAAAAATTTACTCGACTGGGCACTTAGTAAAAAATATTATACTAAAAAAAATTTACTCGACTGGGCACTTAGTAAAAAATATTATACTAAAAAAAATTTACTCGACTGGGCACTTAGTAAAAAATATTATACTAAAAAAAATTTACTCGACTGGGCACTTAGTAAAAAATATTATACTAAAAAAAATTTACTCGACTGGGCACTTAGTAAAAAATATTATACTAAAAAAAATTTACTCGACTGGGCACTTAGTAAAAAATATTATACTAAAAAAAATTTACTCGACTGGGCACTTAGTAAAAAATATTATACTAAAAAAAATTTACTCGACTGGGCACTTAGTAAAAAATATTATACTAAAAAAAATTTACTCGACTGGGCACTTAGTAAAAAATATTATACTAAAAAAAATTTACTCGACTGGGCACTTAGTAAAAAATATTATACTAAAAAAAATTTACTCGACTGGGCACTTAGTAAAAAATATTATACTAAAAAAAATTTACTCGACTGGGCACTTAGTAAAAAATATTATACTAAAAAAAATTTACTCGACTGGGCACTTAGTAAAAAATATTATACTAAAAAAAATTTACTCGACTGGGCACTTAGTAAAAAATATTATACTAAAAAAAATTTACTCGACTGGGCACTTAGTAAAAAATATTATACTAAAAAAAATTTACTCGACTGGGCACTTAGTAAAAAATATTATACTAAAAAAAATTTACTCGACTGGGCACTTAGTAAAAAATATTATACTAAAAAAAATTTACTCGACTGGGCACTTAGTAAAAAATATTATACTAAAAAAAATTTACTCGACTGGGCACTTAGTAAAAAATATTATACTAAAAAAAATTTACTCGACTGGGCACTTAGTAAAAAATATTATACTAAAAAAAATTTACTCGACTGGGCACTTAGTAAAAAATATTATACTAAAAAAAATTTACTCGACTGGGCACTTAGTAAAAAATATTATACTAAAAAAAATTTACTCGACTGGGCACTTAGTAAAAAATATTATACTAAAAAAAATTTACTCGACTGGGCACTTAGTAAAAAATATTATACTAAAAAAAATTTACTCGACTGGGCACTTAGTAAAAAATATTATACTAAAAAAAATTTACTCGACTGGGCACTTAGTAAAAAATATTATACTAAAAAAAATTTACTCGACTGGGCACTTAGTAAAAAATATTATACTAAAAAAAATTTACTCGACTGGGCACTTAGTAAAAAATATTATACTAAAAAAAATTTACTCGACTGGGCACTTAGTAAAAAATATTATACTAAAAAAAATTTACTCGACTGGGCACTTAGTAAAAAATATTATACTAAAAAAAATTTACTCGACTGGGCACTTAGTAAAAAATATTATACTAAAAAAAATTTACTCGACTGGGCACTTAGTAAAAAATATTATACTAAAAAAAATTTACTCGACTGGGCACTTAGTAAAAAATATTATACTAAAAAAAATTTACTCGACTGGGCACTTAGTAAAAAATATTATACTAAAAAAAATTTACTCGACTGGGCACTTAGTAAAAAATATTATACTAAAAAAAATTTACTCGACTGGGCACTTAGTAAAAAATATTATACTAAAAAAAATTTACTCGACTGGGCACTTAGTAAAAAATATTATACTAAAAAAAATTTACTCGACTGGGCACTTAGTAAAAAATATTATACTAAAAAAAATTTACTCGACTGGGCACTTAGTAAAAAATATTATACTAAAAAAAATTTACTCGACTGGGCACTTAGTAAAAAATATTATACTAAAAAAAATTTACTCGACTGGGCACTTAGTAAAAAATATTATACTAAAAAAAATTTACTCGACTGGGCACTTAGTAAAAAATATTATACTAAAAAAAATTTACTCGACTGGGCACTTAGTAAAAAATATTATACTAAAAAAAATTTACTCGACTGGGCACTTAGTAAAAAATATTATACTAAAAAAAATTTACTCGACTGGGCACTTAGTAAAAAATATTATACTAAAAAAAATTTACTCGACTGGGCACTTAGTAAAAAATATTATACTAAAAAAAATTTACTCGACTGGGCACTTAGTAAAAAATATTATACTAAAAAAAATTTACTCGACTGGGCACTTAGTAAAAAATATTATACTAAAAAAAATTTACTCGACTGGGCACTTAGTAAAAAATATTATACTAAAAAAAATTTACTCGACTGGGCACTTAGTAAAAAATATTATACTAAAAAAAATTTACTCGACTGGGCACTTAGTAAAAAATATTATACTAAAAAAAATTTACTCGACTGGGCACTTAGTAAAAAATATTATACTAAAAAAAATTTACTCGACTGGGCACTTAGTAAAAAATATTATACTAAAAAAAATTTACTCGACTGGGCACTTAGTAAAAAATATTATACTAAAAAAAATTTACTCGACTGGGCACTTAGTAAAAAATATTATACTAAAAAAAATTTACTCGACTGGGCACTTAGTAAAAAATATTATACTAAAAAAAATTTACTCGACTGGGCACTTAGTAAAAAATATTATACTAAAAAAAATTTACTCGACTGGGCACTTAGTAAAAAATATTATACTAAAAAAAATTTACTCGACTGGGCACTTAGTAAAAAATATTATACTAAAAAAAATTTACTCGACTGGGCACTTAGTAAAAAATATTATACTAAAAAAAATTTACTCGACTGGGCACTTAGTAAAAAATATTATACTAAAAAAAATTTACTCGACTGGGCACTTAGTAAAAAATATTATACTAAAAAAAATTTACTCGACTGGGCACTTAGTAAAAAATATTATACTAAAAAAAATTTACTCGACTGGGCACTTAGTAAAAAATATTATACTAAAAAAAATTTACTCGACTGGGCACTTAGTAAAAAATATTATACTAAAAAAAATTTACTCGACTGGGCACTTAGTAAAAAATATTATACTAAAAAAAATTTACTCGACTGGGCACTTAGTAAAAAATATTATACTAAAAAAAATTTACTCGACTGGGCACTTAGTAAAAAATATTATACTAAAAAAAATTTACTCGACTGGGCACTTAGTAAAAAATATTATACTAAAAAAAATTTACTCGACTGGGCACTTAGTAAAAAATATTATACTAAAAAAAATTTACTCGACTGGGCACTTAGTAAAAAATATTATACTAAAAAAAATTTACTCGACTGGGCACTTAGTAAAATATTCGATAAATGTGCCGGAGGGTTTACGAAGCAATGCATAATGTATTGCAAATTGTCGTAGATGTGCTACGGGATTTAAGTACGAAATGCCAAAGATAAGTAGAAGAATTGTTTGTTGCATATTACAATTATAACTATTAATGCAAGCTAAAGAAAGTATAGTTGCATACATATTATTTAAAAACGCAATACTTAAAGGCGTGAATAACATATAAAGTATAGGCAATGATAGGCAAAATATACCAAAGTATTGCAAGAAAGCTCATATATATTAGTGCCAGATGTCATATAAAGCAGCAGTGTAATATGTAGCAGGTATAATGTATGCTATATGTATGCTATATGTATATATATATATATATATATATATATATATATATATATATATATATATATATATATATATATATATATATATATATATCACCCATAGACACCATCACTTTCCAGCGTAAAACACTTCCGCAACGAGGGTCCCAGACCAGGTTCACCTACTAATATATTATATATTTTGTTTCGGTTGAGATTAGCTCAGTGGGTAGCAGCTCAGCTCTTGAATTCGACAAAAGAAACCTGTGTCGGGTTCAAGTCCCGGTCAGGGCAAAAAAAAAATAAAAACACAATTATTGATCAAAATATTTCTATAGTAAAACTTGCCTTGATCGGGAACCCACTAATATATATATTTGTGGCAAGGCCTTCTAGAAATCTAGGGGGCCTTGCTTTCAGCATCAATAAGACATATCCGTTCACAGATGGCTCCAGGAATTTAGTAGACAGCTTCACAATTGTAACTTTTAGCAATTATTCGAACCTGTAAATCACAAGCGCCATCTACATTCAAATAATTACAAATTTTTAACAATTATTCGAACCGGTAATTTACAGACGCCATCTAGTTTCAGGTAATTACAACTTTTAGCAATTATTCAAACCAGTAAATCGCACGCGTTATCTATACTCAAATAATTACAACTTTTAGCAATTATTCGAACCAGCAATTCTAGAGGCGTCATCTACATTTAAAAATTACAACTTTTAGCATTTATTCGAACCAATAATATCCAAGCGCCACCTATGTACCAATAGATTTCACTACTTTTAACATTTATTCAAACCGGTAATTCACAGTGTCATCTACAGTCAAATTAATACAACTTTTAGCAATTATTTAAACCAGTAATTCACAGGGATTATCTACATTCAAATACATATTACTACTTTTAATTATTCGAATCAATAGTTTATCAAATTTTATCTGTGATAATCTTCATTGATTGAATAATAATAGGCATTTATTTAAATTGAAAAATAAACAGTGCTTGCTCAAAACTTCTTAACAGACAACCAAACTTATTTAATAGTACATTTGAAATATTATATTCCATGAAATACCTTTTCCAATGGTTAAAAAAGAGGCGCAGGATGAACTGTATATCTGGAAGGCATTACTCACTGCAAGGAATTTGCATCATCGCAATTGTGCTATTAAACCGTAACAGTGAAGTCCATGGCTGTATTGTCATCACTTTCAACTGGAATATAAAATAAATTGCATTAAATTTTGTATCATATATGTAGTACTACTCATGTGTGGTTTTTCTCTTCCATCCATTGTCTATTTCGAAACCTTCACTGTAAAAGAAAATTGAATTTAAGAACTTCATAATAATAATAATAAAAAAAATATATACTGTTTTATTTTGAATAAAATATTGAATTTAATTGTTGTACCTATCAAGAAGCACGAGAGCCTTCCATTTATTTTGAGAGTTGACCAAGAATTGCAGTAGCAGCCAGCTGCAGCATATTTCATAGCTAATGATGTTTTTCTAATATTCTTTGTTTTGCATTGCCGGTATTCTCTGTAAAAAAAAATTATTACATTAATTATTCAAATTTATATAAAAAATTACCGACAATTTTTTTAAATCATTTATATTATTTGACTGCAATACTCGAGTAAATTAAATTTGTAATATAAATTCATCACTGATGAAATTTTTAAATATTATCAAGCAGTTTAACATTAACTTACCTATATTTGATTCAAAGTCTTTGATTAGGTAGCCATTTACTAGTAATTCTAGGATTTGAAATCATGCATCCTCTGATTTGCCTGGTTTTCTTCCAACAGTTCTCGTCTTGACGTGTTTAGTTATTCAAGCCAATCCATTTGCACCAAATGCACCAAAGGTATATTGTATTGTTCGAGTGAGGATTATTTCTGAAATAAAATAAATTCATTAAACTATTGTTATTTAAAGAGTAGAGTACATGAATTATTTTAAATATTCGAGCTAAACATACCTAATTTAATAAAAGCAGCAGCCTCTTTGAAATCCTACGGTAAGAATACATTGGTTCCATTCTTTGAAATGGTTCTCTTCAGTTAGGGCCCACGATTGCTTGTCACGTTATTTTCTTCAGGAATGCACATATTACCCAATATGCATGTCGACAAGTCCACATTGTTTGATTCAATGTACGATTTTTAGAGCATCACCCTTGTTATTTCTTTCAAGAATGCACATGTTCCACAATATGTATATCGGCAAGTCGATATTGTTTCATTCACTGTAGGAATTGCAGAGCATCTATTCCACAATATGTATGTCGGCAAGTCCATAATGCCACATCGTTAAGCGCGGTAGCGCCGGCACTTGTGAATTTCCAAGTTAAATGAATTTTTGTTATGAATCATTTGCCACAACAAGCATTTCAATGTCGATCTCAAAGATTTCCCAAACAGTTTTTATGTATTATTCATAATGCAAACGACGATTTGTTCAAATCATGATGTTGCTTCTAGTGTGTATTAGCAGAAAAATCAACTGTAAGACATGTAATGAGTAAATGTCATCTATTTAAAAATATCAGTGGATTGCAATGCAATTTCCTTCAATCTAAAAATTGAAAACTGTCAAATTAATATAAACCTAAAATAATTTTCAATGTAAATATTTCAAACAAATTAAGAAAACTCAACAACATTGAATTTTTAACTTATAAAGTTTTTACGAGATAATGTTTGCCATTCACATATAAAAATATATTACTTTAAATATTGTAGGTTAGAATAGTGAATGTTGTCAGCTAGAAATATAATAAAATCAATGTACCTAAATATACTTTACAATTATAACTTGTAGCTAACAAATTGAATGGCAAACTCACTCAGTATATTGTCTAGGAACTCACTTTTCAATTTTTCAAGAATCAATGAATTAAAAATTTCAAGTGAAATTAAATTTGATTTTCATGAGCAAAAATTAAAGATAAATGAATGTTTGTTAGCATATTGACAGGTCCAGTGGTCCGAGATCCAATAAAAATCAATAAATCATTTGTATTCCAAAACTGATTAATACATCTATTATGTACATCAAATATCAGATATTTTATACAGATTTGAATGATAAGTACAAACATTGTTCACATTGTTATGGATTCCGTATCCAAATTTATACAGTTTAACCGTAAAACTCCGACGCGGCGCATACTCGCTCCGATATTCTATCTCGCCCATCGCGATTGCTTCGAAAAAAAAATTCAAAGTTTTCAACAAAAATATATCAAAATTATCAAAACAGTTCTCATTTTCAAATGTTTTCAAAGGCGCCGAAAAAGAATAAATATAGTTTTTCATTGATATAAAACAGAAAAATTAACAAAAAATGCAACGATTTTTTTATATAATATAATATAATATATAATATTTTTATTATAAGCAAGCTCAACACATGCAAAAGACGGTAAGAAAAAGAAAAAAATTAAACTATAAATATTTATTAATAATAATCGTAAATATATAAAGACACAAAAAACTCATTTATCTCATATAAATAAATATCCGACCGACGGAGGGTTAAACAAGTGGTGCATCATGCCTTGCTGCTGATTGCTGGAACTTAAATTACCATAATTTAAATTTATGTAAAGCTTCAAAATTTTTTGAAATTTTTGGAAAAAATAGTTTGGATTTTTTTTTTTTAACAATTTTGGCACTTGAACACGAAATGGGTTGCGTCGCCTTTGAAATGAGCTGTGAAACTCAAAGTGAAAATATAATTTCAATTGAACTGCATACTACCGGCTACGGGCTTGCCAAAAAAATTTTCGAACGCAGTACGGGGAGAACAAACCGTTGATAATGTGCGCATTACTCATCCGCTTTTCAATGTTTGCGATAACCAATAAGTTTGGTAGGTTTTCAAGGAACTCTCGTCGTGAAAATACTAACATTCATGCACCATGTTACAACACATAGCAAAGAATATATAAAATGCAGTTTGAATAGAAAATACCAGAAAAAAGACAACATACTGGTTCACATATATCAAAAAGCGTGTATTTCATACAAAATGTATGGGTGGTCTGGACAGACCACTCCGACCGTTCAAAGTATAAGAAAGTTAATATCCTTATAATTATCCTTCTGTACATTTTTTCCTGATTTTTTTATTGATCGACAGCTAATGAAATTTTAGGAAAAGTCAAGAAATTTCAAGTCGATAGGATTACTAGAAATATTCTTTTTTTTTAATTGAAGTCGAAAAAAGTCCGGCCAGACCACTCCGACCGACGGAGGGTTAATGTTATGTTAAAACGATGTACAAATTTATAAAAAACTAAACTGGTGGTTCAAATATGTACCAATAGCAAAATAATTTTAAGAATCTAAGAGCTGTGTTAATAAGAAATCGTGATTTTTGGCATATTGAAAAAATCCTAACCACTGACCCATTGCCGCCCCATTTTTCTTGCAAATCTATTAAGCAACGCAGTCTACTTTAAACTAATATTTGAACGTGTAAATGGATGGATGATTTCAAACATTTCAGAAAATTCTAGCGATATATAAATCAAAATGTACTCGGAAGCCGCAGTAATTGCGTCCACGCAATTAATTCATTTTGTATAATGAAAAGCCAAAATGATCAAAACTGAAAATAAAACTACAAGTTCTCGTATTACGGAAATTCGGTATCGGTACCCACAAAATCAACACGAAAACCTTGAAATTAATATAAGAAATATGTATCACTGACCTTTTCTCCTGTAAACGGTGCTGCATCAGTTCCAATTTCTCATGTAAATTAGACTTGATAAGGGCACAATTACAAACACTTGAAATTAATAGGTATAAAATTATCGCACTATTAAACTGAATTCAATTCGTAACAATGTTGAACTCGCGCAACAAGCCGGTCGGCTACGTCCATTTCGCCGAGACCCTTCTAGCCGTAAACCGTACACCGTACACGGCCGCAGTCGAAAACGAAATGATATCCTTTAGCAATGGCAGGCCGATTCGAGTGGTGGGGAGAGCAACTAGGTGATAGGTGATGGGCGGTGATGGGCGTGGCCTGCCCCTGCGACATATCTTTGTCCTTGTCCTGCGCATTAATCCTATGCGTGGAATAGAGTGCGAAATAGTACTCGAGCGCACTCGCACATGACATAGTTGTCCTTCTCTGTACGCAGCATTGCATAATGGCCGATCGGCTTCCGAAAGAACCTGCGCCATTATCATGTTGTTTGAGCTTCTGTCTGTCGGCAAACTGCAACGTAAAATCATATTATAATTATTTTTATATTTCAATCGACATATAAAGGAACTCTTTTTCTGTAGAATTTATGATAAAAGTTTATGTAAATAATAACACAACAGTTCATGCAGAAGGATAAAAACAGACTGACTGATTCTTTATGATACTGATATATTCTTTAACTAATCACTTTGAATCGTTTATGAATTTTTAATTATTTTGGACATAATATAAAAAGACGGAATGTGCAGGACATTCTCTGATGCCATTCTTGCTTTAAAACTCCGTTTTGTTGAAATCCAAAATGTACCTATTTCGCATAAAAAGAAGTTTGCAAACTACAATTATTTTATTATTGGTTTTCCATTGTAATTGTTCACACCAAAATCACAGCATCCGATATATTGATATAGAAAGAAATCAAATATCTAAATAAAAAATTATTATAAAATAAAATCAATCAATACAAAAATTAAACTTTGAAAACATTGTAAATACAAATATAATTTGTAGTTGTAATAAAAACTAGTTGGTATTGGTATTTTGCCTTGAGGCAAGTTACATGAACTTTCTGATATGTGTAAATAATCGACTATATAAATTAATTTATGAGCGATTAAACGTATTCCGAGTAGATTTATTACACATAATTGAAAACGAACAAACACGTTAACTCGAGTATTTTCTAAAAGCAAATTTTCAAAAATTAATAACTTTTATAATTGAACCAGTTTCGGTAGGACTTAATGGTTTAGATGTACATTGAGATCAAGTACTCTAGCGTTATACCAAGTAAATCGTCTAATTTTAATTTTAACGAACGTCAAAAAAACTACTCATTTTCTCAAACTTTGATGAATTTTTAAAATTCAACTACTAGTAAGGCCATAATAATTCAGTAAGATCCATAAGACCATAGTATATATCGCCCAAAAAAGTTCCATAAAAATCGGCGTAATATTTTTTTCAACGGTTAATTACAAGGAAACGGCTCGGTAGATTTTCACCAAAAACTAATCAGTATCATTCCCAACTAATATCTTTCGAACAGTTTTTTTCTTTAATCGATTCGGTAGAATGAGCTTAAATGTGGACGAAAAGTTTAACACTTTTTTTCAAATTACAAAGAAACGGTTTGGCAGATCGTCTCACAAAACTGACCAACTATAGTGCTCATTGAGATACATCGAATGACTTAAATTTCTAAAATCGGTTCAGGCGTTTTTAAGCAAACGTCGATTAAATGCCAAAAAATCGATACCAATTTTTGCAAACTTTGACGAATTTTTAAAGTTAAACCGATAGTGTCGTAGGGCCGTAATATTTTAGTATGATCTAGAAGACGATGGTATGTACCGCAAAAAAAAATTATAAAAATCGTCGAATTTTTTTTTTCAAACTTTATTACAAGAAAACGACCCGGCCGATCTATACCAAAAACTAATCAGCACGATTCCCAACCAATACCTACGAACGGTTTTTGAATTTTCAAAATCGATTCAGAATTGCTGGCTAAACGTGGACGAAAAAGTTTTCACTTGTCTGCGATTTACAAAGAAGCGGCCTGGCCGATCGTCGCACAAAACTCATAAACCCTAAGTCGTCATCGAGATACATCGAATGGCTTTTAAATTTTGGAAATCGGTCCAGCCGTTTTTGAGAAAACGTTGATTTACGGCAAAAAAATTGTTCACACACACGCGCGCACACACACACACATATACTTTTTCCAAATGTTAGTCTCATTCGATTCAGAATGGCTTGAAACGTCGAGAAAACATAAAATTAGCAAATCGGATCTTTTGATAAAACATAAACTTCTCCTTCGGGAAGTTAATAAACACGTAATTAATATTACAAATAAAGTGTTTTACAACAAATCATTGGTCCTTCGAAAAATCAATCAAACCTAACAAATAGTAATATTCTACTACTATCGACGCCACATCTATAGTTTAAAAAAAAAATTGTTAAGAATTAGAAAGGTATTGGCATAAATTTGGAAATTTCAAATTAGACGCAAATAGTGTAGTTAGTAGGAAAATGATTTATCAATCATGAATTTTTTAAAACTCGTCAGAGGAAGGTAATACGCTACTTTGACAAGATTTGCAAATTCATATTCAGGATATTGAAAGTTTGTTCAAAGTGAATATATTTTATCGAGTAATCGACATTATTATTAAACAAATTAAAACGCGATTCTTCCGATGAATTAACATGTTTCAAATTTCAGTATGTTGCTACAATAGAAGTTTTCAATGATACTGATCTATTAAAT